CCAAAAGCAAATTCTTTGTTTATAAAGCTGACATAATAACAAAATCCACCAATGTCCTAATTCGAGTAGAATAAGTTCATTTAAATATATATATAAAGTTTAAATTTTGTGAATAAAAAAAAAGTATTAAAAAAACTTTCTTTTATGGAGTCTAACTTAATTTGATTTCAAATTAATTAGGATTTGATATGAGTTTCAAACTCCAAGGATGGTAAAAAAAAAAAAAATAACTACAGGATCCCAATCTCAATATACAATTCTTCTCTCTTGATACATGGTATATGTTGAAGATATTGTATGGTGGATAAGGCATGTGCAGCAACAGCTAGCGGTGCTTCAGAGGAATTAAGATGTTAATTAAATTTAATGATTGGACCAATTATAATATTATTTGTTTTGCTGACATCAAATTAGGCTGCATGCATTTTAATTTTTAGGACCACCCTATATGAATTAGTGGGATAATGTTGGAATCTATAGTCACAAAAACATCATATGCAAAAAGAAAAGAAAGGAAGAATGGAGAGATGAGCACATGTTCCCAACATGAATGAATGTGATTAGGGCCCTGCATGATGCCCTAAACTCATTGTTGAATTTTAAATGACATAATTTTGCTTAAAAAAAAATCTTAAAGTGCTGGAAATAAATTACTAATGTATGATATAACAGCATAAGAAACCTAAAGTGAAATAAAATGAACATATTTGTTATATATGAAGGTATAAAGGGGATCTTCATGTATTGGCATGATTATAGTCATAGAGCTAGATAAGCACAAAATTAAAACAAATTAAATTTCATGCTTTTCTCTAACAAAGGGGAAAAAGATGCTAAGCAATACGTTAAAAGAAGATGCCCTTAGAGTTGAAAGTTACTTATGACTTAGTAAGGGTATGAATGACTCAAAACATGATATTGTACATTAAGGGAAGATAAACAGAGGAAAAATCTTAGTTAAGGTAGTAGAATATAAGGGCATAAATAGGAAAAAAAAAATAACATAGGAAGCCCACTTAAAAAAACCCCCAAGTGCGATACTCTTTATAATTAGATGACAAAATCAAGACTTTAAAGGAGCACAATAATTATTGGCTTATTTAAAGAGTTAATTGTCATTTGTGAACATTTGATTCATTTCTTATTTGGCTTCTTATGAAGACCCACGGAAAATAAACAAACACTGAAAATGAAAAGAAAAAGAAAAAGAAAAAGAAAAAACCTTTGATTATACATATTGACTAGGAAAATCCCACCTCAAATATATAAGAAATAAGTATATACTTTAAATATAAAAAGAGATACTTCACTTGTCATCAATTGGTTTTAAGTTAAATACAAGTTTTTTGTTTAAAGCTACACTTATAATTTTCACATAATATATGATATCAAAATCCAAACTCTTTTCTTAAAAAAACCCATTATTGACCCATCTGGTAGGATTTGAAATATACATGGAGTCTATAGGTAAGGTGTGTATTAAAATCATAACACAGTTTTCAATAACAATTTGCAAAGGGGAAAAAGGGAAAATTAGCTGAATTAATAACGAAAATGGAAACACCTAGTTATAGCTAACACATCATTAAAGATGTTAGGTGGTTGATGGAGCCTTGCCCAATTCTCTCTTTCTCAATTATTTACTAGTTAATTTTGATATTGATGTTGGCATCTAAATTAGGTAGAGTGGAGTCGTTCCATAAATTCCACAATTTGAATTCCAAAAATAGGATTTACATGAATGCAACCAATTCCATTGTGTAACTAGTCTTACAGCTCTCCATCTTAAAAATTATAGAGAGCATTATCATGGAAAGAATATTGGCATTCAGCGTTTGTTTGAATATCTTTCTTCTTTTTTCCTCTTTACGTTGAAAGCTTCTCCACTTGAATCATTGGATACATCTCAATCGTTTATTAAAAGGTATACTCAATTATTGGGATGCAGCTGATTGCCGTGAAGAAATCAAAAGCATTCAAAAGGAGATTTCACGACAAAATTTCTTTGCTTGCTGGCTACCCTATCAAATGGTGTTCCAGTTGTTCACCAAAAAACTGCATGCATTAATGATAAAAAGGTGATATGTCCTTCTTTGTTGTGTTCTTCTCATCTTATTCTCTGATGAAAGTCGGGCATGAAATTGAAAATCCCAATGTATAGAATGATAACGTGAATTATATTATTTTTAGGTACAGTAAACAATATACTATATAATAAAAGATGATTATTTTATTTTTATAATCTTTTTTCATCTATTTTACTATTTAAACTCAAGATTTAAAACTTAAAATCTCATCTTTTTAAGCTTAAAACATCTTTTAAAAACATAACGTAAATCTTATGAATTAGGAGAAAATTATGAAAAAAAAAAGAGAGATGATTTAGTATACGTAGGAAGGGAAGGGAAGTTGGTAGCAATTGAAGATTAATTTGATTGCTTTCTTGAAAGCATTAAGGTCAGTCATCTAATTAAGTTGCCAGCTAAACAACTACTACATGTTTAATTAGTGATGATAATTTGATTTTGTAATCAATTAGATAGAAAGAATGAGTCTATGAGAGACGAATGGATTGCGTTGGATAAGTTTTTTCCCAAAGAAGTTAATTATGACAACAAATATAAAAGCACTGTCACTAAAAAAGGTGACAAAGATGGCAATGCCACCATTTCATATTTTATAATTCCAAGGGGAAAAAAAAAAAAGAAACAATAGTATGCAATCATTTGATATTAAAAAGTAATTCACTATTTCAATCATGCATGAACCGAAAATCGATCTCCGTTGAAATTTTTCTCAATCATGAAACCATAAAAATTACATTTGAAAAGAAAAGTATATTTAATCTAACGCACACAAATTAGTTAAAGATAATACAATGGTAACCCATAAAATAGTATGGGATGTAGGGGAGAACCTAAATTCAAATCTAATGTGATATATGCAGCTTTCCAAGAAACATATACTTTAGACCTGTCTAACCAGATGGAGGTCTGGTCATATAGACTGTGGAAGACCTTAGTCAAATTTCAAGGGCAAAGGGAACAGGGTAGAATTTGCCTAGTTTCCAACTCAAAATAGTCCACCCCATGAAGAATTTGCTATCCTGTTTTGAACTTTCACCAGTTTTGGGATTACACATCTTCCATTAGCTTTTTACCCCATATGTCCTAGCAAAATTATGATGTGTTCGATGTACTCTAGTATTTTTTTGGATAAGTAAAGATTTACATTTTATCAAAAAAAAAAAAAAAATGATGTGATCCTCTCTCTACATTCTTTGCGCACAGGAAAAAGTTAACTTAACGACTTACCAATGCAAATTTGGCTCAATCTTTCACCCAAGAGACGCAAGCGGAGCGCACTACCCAACAACAGGGGAGGGACCTGCGTTCATCAAAGGTGCAGAGACAAACAAGATCCTCCATGATATATCTCCCGTTTGGTATTGCAGAAAATCCAGCTTTCTTTAATTTTTAGTTTAGTGGTAGAAACACCATCCAATTGGCTTTTCAAGCTGCAGGATGCAAAGTCAAAATCAAAAGAGAGATTGGTACCCCACTTGGCTCCTCACCCCCTGTTAAATTCGTTTCCTAAAATCATTACAAGCAGACAAAGCATTTGATGTCTGGCGTAATGGTAAGTCGCTATTGACCCGAAAGATTCTTTTTGCATCACATGGAAACGGCAAAGCTGTTTCTTTGCCGCGTGTGGAGGTTCATATTTTTCCTGGATTTCATCATAGAAATCACTTTTCATGACCAAAAACTGATTAACGATCAAATGCAAAAGGGTTATGGATGGATCATCTTTTTAATAATGAACTATATATAACAGAAGATAGTTTTTTCCTTTTCTAAATCTCTTCCCACTAATTTTAGAGTTCAAATTTGAGATCTCAACATAGAGTCTCAAGTTTTCGTTGGTTGTGACACCCCCTTGAGAGCATCAGTTTTCTTCTTAATTCCTCCTATGATTGGTGTACTTCGGCCGCAGCCTCAAACAAGAAATATATACTGAAAGGGGAGTTGGAATGAGACGGGTTTGTGTTGTTGTAGGGAGGGGAAGGGACCGATGTAAAGTCCAAAAGATATGATACGGATGGAAGCTGAGTCAGTAATCAGCGGAGAGTAGTGACCAAGGAAAGAACAAATGGGCAGGGCACATTGCTACCCAAAAAGCAGACCCAGAGTACACAAATTGATGCCCAAAAGGGCTTTTGGGCACCAATGCACAAAGACCAGCGTTCATGGCCCCCACCACCTGCTACCAGGGGCAGGCCCATAGGCTAATAGCCTTCTGGCAGTTCTTATACAAAGGCAAGTAATAAGAAAAATAGTGGGTGTGACACTCCCCTTTCTGCTCTTTCATTTTATGGTGCGCCAATCAGCTAATTGAATAAACGTAATTTAGAAGTGGAATGGACACAATACAACAAAATGGTAAAAGAACCAGTCATCCAAGTCACATGTAGTGACATATCTGATTCATTCAATCGTCAAGGTTATGAAGACATTGAAATTATGAAGAACCGAGGGAAAGGAAATGGCTATACACAAAAACTTTTGTTCCTTGTATATGATTCAATAGTTTCTGCTGTTGGGCATCAGACATTCAAAATTTCAAAGCAATAATACTAGTGAATCAAAGCAAAACCAATGAGACATGAATGATCAACCATGCATATTTTCTAATCTGATTTATCCAGAATTCTCAATTTAAAGATCCTGATAAAACCGCATAATCATATATAGAAATGCCAGACAAGTAAAAAGTAGATGAAGAGAATGTATAAGGTGGCTACATTACAGTCTGAATAGCTTGACCTACAAATAGTTGAGAAGGCATCAGATGCCAGATACATTGCTAGTATGATCATCACTTTCCCCTGTAGAACAAAAAGAGAAATGTAACATTAGTTGCAAAGAGTGAGAGAGGGAGATTGGGAATGAAATAGTTGTTCTGATAGCACTTACGTGTTCATCATCAGAGTTATATTGTCTCCTTTAAGGAGAATCCTCCCTACATAAAATCAAAGAAACAACAATTTAGAGGAATGCTCATACGAGGAAAATAAGTATAATTATGATTAGTGGGTATTCACCTAATGACTTTCTGCTCTTTTTCTTGATGTTGACTTCTTCAGCATCATCCAGAACCAAATTCATGTACTCATCAAAACCCTGTGCAAAAACAATGAAAACAAGTTGTTACTGGAACAGAGCAGGGTCATCAAGAAACATCAGAAGCACTTATCAAGATGCTTTTAGTATGCTTCAATTCTCTGTTAGTGACCACTTGAACATTCTGAAGTCAAAAGTCAAAGCAAAAATTACCAAACCCAAATATTTCAACATGTCTTAAAATTTTGAAACAAAGAGAAGTAGAAGTCCACCAATTCAAAAACATCTAAGAGGTTTGGTTTTACTTCTGACAGGTTTTGCTAACTAGTCTCCAATGTTATTTAAAATTTGAAAGTGACTCAATCTAGAACAAGGCTGTCTCTAACCTAAAGAATATATTAATTGATTATCAAATCTTCCACGTATTTGAATAAAGTCCAGCATGAGAAAATGAATATAGGTATGCTCGTCTCAAACACAGTCCATCCTGTGCGCCAGCAAACCCCTAAAACCATCTTGAATTATTACAAAATTATGACTTCTGAACTAATCAACCAAAGTGGCCAAAAAAACCAAAAAAACACTAATCAACCAACATACAGGAAGATATAATCAAGAAGACTAATACATGAAACAAAGAGAATTCACCAAGCATGTAACCGAAAACAATGTAGCTTGATAATATTAAAGTATGTGCTCATTAAAGGTTCGATATTCATTTCTACAAGTAATAAACTAAATCACAAAAGTAATTCCTTAAGCCAAAAATTGTCAGTTACTCAATTTTAATGTTCCTGCATCAATTCATTTGAACTTTAGCTTTTGCCAAAAAATAGGAACTTTCTGGTTACTCTAAACCACAATAAGAATTATTTAGCAGTAAATGTTGCTTCTTCAAAAAAGTTCAGTGAACAAACTTACAATGATTCGACCTTCAATCCTCAAATCTTTCTGCTCAAAAAGCCAAATCTGAATCCGAGCTTTCTGAGGCATTTAAAAAAAACACATAAATAGTTTCTTATTAGTTAAAGCCTCAACAACTGGTTAAAATAAAGGCTGGCAATAGAGAAATGAACAGTAAACAGAAAGAATAGAGGACATACGCTTTGGAGGAACCTGAAGATCAAGTTCTGTTGCCACAAAAACCCCACACAAAAAAATGAGGAAAGAGTCATGAATGAAAAAGAGAGCAACAAAGAACACCAAAATAAAATAAGAAGAAAAGGAAGGGCGGAGAGAAAAACGTACAATCGGTTGGGTCATGATCCTCTGCACCTTGGTGCTTGCCATGGTTGTAGCTCGAGGTTTTCCTGAGTCAGAGAAAACCAGAAAGGTTAAGCAGATGCCTATAAAATCCTGACTTCAGTAAATATCAAATAACTGCTGTTTTTCATGAACCCAAGACAGATATCAAGAAAAAATTCTAAAAACTACAATACCCCATGTGATGGAACGAACCTACAGCTGTATTTCCCTCAAATATTGAACAATTATGAGACTCAATTTATCACCTAAGAACTGAAAATCAAAAACCCATTTTCAACAATACAATTTGGCCCATAACAACTATACCAAAATATATCAGCTACCAATCTAAATATATATATATATATATATATATATATGAGAATTAGAAGCGTAAAAACCTAAATTACACAAGGAAACTAAAAGTAATTCTAATCACTGTAACATTTCGAAGCTACGCAAGCTATTTATAAAAAATTATAGAGATAATTCCAACAAAAACACATATCAGACGCAAAATCAAATCAGAGGAAAAGAAGCCGACCAGAAAAAGCACGGGGAGCATACCTTACCTTACGGGAAAGTGCGACGGCGAGAAGGCGGAAAGGTTGAGCCGGAGAAAGAGGGTTGAGTTGTGGGTATAGGGAGCGCGGTTAAGAAGGCAAGCTATGGTTCTAGGTTTTATATAAAACCGAGCGAAACGGTGCGTTCACGATATATTTCATTTTTATATATTTATAAAACCGACAAATAAGTCCTCAAACCCATTAACCACGTCAAAGAAGCCCTTAATGTTTCTTTATTTAGGCCAATACGTGCCTTAACTGGTTTGCTTTGCCCTTTCGATTGGGATGAATTTAGCTAAATTGGATGGAAAGAGTCACTCACATGTTAGGATTTTTTAATTTTGGGTATTGTTTGGTATGAGAAGATGAAAGGAATGAAATTTTCCACAAATATTGCAATATTTAAAATTATTATAATTTAATTGATTGAAAAAACTCATCTTTTCACCCTATTCTCTTTATACTAGAAATAATTCTAATGAAATTCTCCACTAAATAGAAATAAAAAAGATAAAATATTTATATAACCTTGCACTTTTAAATTTATATCTAATAAAAATTTGAAATCAACTTTAAAATTTAAACCCAAAAGGCATTTTAATGCCTTCAATGTGAGGGCTCTCCCTCCAAATAATGTTAGGAAGCTTTGCATCTAACGAATTAATTTAACAAGTCTAAAGGTACAGCTTCTTTTTCCCAATGCCCATAAAGATGCTGTACTTCCTCCAATCCAGACAAAGCCATAATGAGTTCCTTTGTTGTTGGGCGATCACGCCATTTAGCTATACACTTAATTGCTAGCATTGTGATTTGATGTCCCAAAGCTGGTCTAAAATCTTGGTCCCTCTTCAAGCTTTCATGCACAACTGAAAAATTTTCCTCAGAATGTGATGATGACTTCCATCCTTCATATGCTTCCTTTATCCACTCATCTGCCATTAGGGGTTCCTCACGTAGCCAAAGTGGGGGTTCAAACCGTGGAACATTAACATTGGATAGCTCGGCGATGAAAGAATCATAAGAAGCCAAGTCTCCTTCACGTACTTCCAAAGCTTTTTCTATTTCTTAGACGTACTTGGAAATCAAACCTATAAGTATGCAACCGAATGCAAAGACATCGGACTTTTCCGTCCAATAAGCTGTCGATCAACAAATCAAGAAAATTAGTCGTTACAAGAAATGAATAAAGAGACATGAAATCTGGCAAACGTGATGTTCATCAAATTTAATTAAACCAATATAAACATATCTAGTGGACATATATGATGACAGAAAATTTAGCAGGAGACATTTTCATTAGACGTACTGTGTGGTTCATGACACCAATCAATGTAACCATAGGACCCAAGGAAAGCTGGCCGCCACCAGTTATTCTTGTCGCGAAGGACACCCTCAGACATCATGCTAAGATCACATACTACGGGGTTGTACTCCTACAAATTAAAGCTAGACATGTTAACTAAAGAACTTCACAGAAATTAATTAATGAAACTGACAAACTAAGATGTGTAAAAGAAATAAAAAGATGGTTTATTTTTTTATTTTTTTTAGTTTTTGGTTGTACAATGAGAGGTATTGTCTCTCATTTCTTAATTCACCATATTTATATGTTATATTATTTAAACTCAACACTTCTAACTTTTATATATTGAAAGGAGATTATTATTGTGTTATTTAAGTTATTAGTATATAAAATGCAATTTTAACTTACCTGATCAAGCAAAATGTGAGCTGGATCCAGATTGCAAATTACATATGGCAAATTTTCAGAACATTTAGCATGTATAAATCCAAGCATTGCGGGAAGCTGAATAGCAATCTTCTTTCTTTGTTGCCATGTGAAATCATCAATACATATATACACTAAACCACATTAGTCATGTATCTACCGACTTGATTTTAGACATTTTAGCCAGTAACTATCAGAGCAAAATTAATCACAATACATAATTAAGGGATAAAAATAAAATCGTAAACTATAAAATATGAAATATATATAAAGGAATAATCTACTTATATATAAATTTTATATATTATATCTATATAAAACTAAACAATTAATTTTTTTATTTTTAATAATTAAGATTTATTCATATTTATTAAAGATAATTATTTTTTTATTTAAAAAATTATAATAAATTTTAATATTATATATTAAAAACAAACAGTTAAATAATTAATATTTTATATAAATATAATATATAAAATTTATATATAAAAAATTCTTTATTCATATATATATATATATATGTATATGATGAAGTGAAGTACCTCTGAGTATAAAGTTTCGTAAAGTATCTCGTGGTTTAAGATCATAGACAACACCAAACTCATGCTCAGAACAATATTCAATCAACTTTCCCACTGCCAAGTACGGATGTGACTTCAATCCCAAATCTCCATATAAAATGTGTTCCTCCTAAAAAAAAAAAAAAAAAGGGTTAAAATCAACTTTTAGCTCCCTCACCTTATAAAATTAATAAGTTTTAACTCATAATTTTATAATATAATATTTTAACCTTTTACTTTACAAAATTAATAAGTTTTAGCCCATTATCTTACAAAATTGATAAATTTTAACCTCTCACTTTATACTATGATACTTTTAACATTTTATCTATATAAATTGAAGAAAATAACTCTCACTCAACATCTGGTTATAATATTCTGTTAATTCTGTAAGTTGACTGTCAGTTCTGTTAGTTAACTATTAGCATCCGTTAGCATTCTGTTAATGGAACTAATAATAAAATTGAATTTAAATTTCATGTTTTTCTATAACGAAATGCTAACGAATGTTAACAGTCAATTAACAAAACTAACAAAATGTTATAACTTGATGTTAGGTGAGGGTTATTTCCTTCAATTCGTATAGGTGGGGAGCTAAAAATGTCATAATATAAGGTGAGGGTTAAAACCTACCAACTTTGTAAGGTAAGAGGTTAAAATCTATCAATTTTGTAAGATAAAAGACTTAAAATATTATATAATAAGATGAAGGGTTAAAACTTACTAATTTTGTAAGGTGAGGGGTTAAATGTTGATTTTTACCTAAAAAATACGGGATAATTAATATGCTTTAAAAAGGTTCATAGCAACTACTAG